AAGTAATATTGGATATGTATTGACAAATGACAACATTAAGTAATAATATCCAATAATGCAATGTATTAACAATAATATTAAAGGCTGAAAAGAGTGTTTCTGCATGACTACTTTTACTTTTGATACATTACATTTTGCTGCTCAAAAGACTTTATTAATTTCCCCAGGAAGGAAACTGAGTGCCACCATAGGACAGACAACAGGTAGAACAATAGTAGAAGGTGTAGCTACACATCTCAAGGCAGAGAGCATGACACCATACTAAATAGTGTAACCATCAGCATGACTGTACACACATAGTGGAAGAATAAGACATTAACAATCCTCAGTAGTTTTACTTAAGTAACATTTTCTGAATACTTCTTCCACCAATGAACAATATTTATAATATTATCATAGAAAAGAGGTTATGCTGCATAGTAAATGACATTTTACGCGCATTTTGCTGATAATACTTTTACTTGTTGTGAATGTTTACTGTCCTTCACTGTGTTATTACAAAAGCTAACCCACGATTGGGTCATCGTGAATAAAGTGCAGTCAAATGTCTCCGCTATCCCACACTTTAAACGGGTGTTTGCAGATATTTTGCCCTCTGCAGTGACTCTCTCTTACATAAACGTCGCACAATAACAACAGGAGGAGCTTGTTAATTCAAATCACGCCTTTCGCGACACTCAGCTGAAAGTGAAAGTAAACCAGTGACAGTACTGGTGTTGTGTTTGTTTGGTTTTTGAACAAATAACCATAATGGTGCACGGATCCCCGACAGCAGATTAAATATCTCCCGCGAGGCCCACGTGGATCGCCAAGTTGACACACCTCCGATCATTACGCATTATTTATGTCCTGCCGGTGTGAACTTTGCCACCTTTCTGACTTCCTAAATGGAAAACTGGAAGGCCTACTCCTACTACAAGCCCAAACCTGAGATGGTAGTTAGGCTACAGGTTAGTTACACCTTACACACACACACACACAGAAAAGTCCGCTCACCGCTCGCTGGTCTCCGGGGCATGTGGGCTGGGCGAGGATCACCGGGAGCGCCGACATAAAGGCTGTCATCTGCGTAACGGCAGCGGTTGCTGTCCTACCCAGCGGAGCAACAGGCAAAGATCACATTTTTGCATTTCATGTGTTATAATAAAGCTCTTTTGTCTCATTGATCCAAGTCCAGTTTCATTAACACTTTAGTGGAGCGTGTGTGCGGTCCATCTGTCTCCAGAGCTTTCACACACGCCCTGCTGCTATCGTCATATTTCACTCCTCCTCTGATTCGTCACTTACACACCAGTACGTGTCAGGGCCGCTTTTTTTTTTTTTAATTGGAGATTATAATTGTCAGTCATTTAGTCATATCGAGCAAAACCATCTTTTAATTTCAAAATGCTCAGTTTTTTATGATTTATTGGCATATTACACACAAACATGTCTCAACAAGTGTAGATGATTACAAGGATCAAGGGCCAATATGTTAAGAGGTTTGGAAAGCTTTGTGAAATACCACAGTAACCCTCAGTTTATTATATATGACACTGTGAAGAAATGATCCTAATGTTTATTTCAGGTTGTAACCAGGGCTGATACCATATTCAATATGAGCCTGCGGTTTCTGGGCATTTCATTAACTGCTAATTTGTTTGGGAATATGCACCATTGATGATTTTATTGAATTTTTAGACA